TCTTTCCAATTGCTTAAATTGGAAAATTTACTGCGATGATCATTCTTCACTTTCATCTACAACCGAGAAAAGGTTGGGCAAAAGCTGAACGTAGTCCAGTTCTGGTCCTCTCTCTGTCACGCAACGCTACGCTCGTGGCGTTGCATGACAGAGGAGGGGTCAGAACCGGACTAAAGGTAACGCTGTTAACAGTAAGTTCGCTGTTAGAGAAAGTGGAAAAAACTTCGAAATTGTTGCACGAGGGGATCTTTCTTTTGCGATGAACATTTTCATTAGACTATCACGTGCAAACTCGAAGCGAGGTTGTCACGTGCGCGTAATGTTTCACACTTCACCAACAAAACTTTTTAAAGCATATTTTATTCTATGCAATGAATTTAGAAATATATTAAGTCCATAAAAAGTGTGCAATTCAGCGCATTACCATAGCTGTATTTACAAAGCTAGCCTGTTTTAAGCTCTCGTTGGAATTGTTTGGGGGAGAGCGAAGCAAATAAAAGACATTTCTGCGGACAAAACTGAAACAAATAAAGAACTACGTTAGCCTTTTCCACACTGTAACAAAACGTAAGATCACTGACAATTATTTATCAACAGTTTTTTTGAGTTAGTACTCAATGCTAGCAATCGGCAATGACTTAAAGGAGCTCAGTCACGTTATTTTGAGTTATTTTGGCCACGTACAAAATTACCTTTAAATTGGAGGAAACCTGAAAAGAGTAGTTTACTAAGATAGAAAAACATTAAAGAGATAATAATAAACCATACAAGAACAAAAATGTTTAAGGATGGAAAGGATTAACATGGATTACAAATGACGAACTTGAAAAATGCGAAAGATGCGCCAACCTTGAGGTACTGAGGCTCCTTTAACTTGAGCCCTAGCCTACGCTGGAGTCATGTGAGAAGATTTTAACTCATGTTTGAAATAAGAAATAAGTTTTCTTAATACTTTGCCCATGAAAAAATTCGCTAGTTGGATACAGGGCAAAAAAGGCTTCCAGGCTGCAACTACTCCCAATTAATACACTGCGAAAGCGAAGAAAGAAAGCAACGACCAGAGAATTAAAAAATCATTCTTATCACGAATGTAATTTGGCGAACCCGTGTCGTAAACAGTCTTTCTCGGCGAGGATAAAAGAAACAAACGTATATTTACAATTTATCAGAAGTTTATAGTATTTTAAACTTCTGACTATATACAATGTATAAATACAGTCCTATTCCGCTAAATCATCACCAGCCCTTTCGCGCCATGGGACGCATTAAGCCTTAATGCAATAAATAGGCGTCGTTGCTCCTTAACTCAGACATCTTCTCTGAAATAGACCCGCTATGGTCAAACCGAAGGGCTTTCAACTGCAGTTGTCATATAGAGCTTAGAAATGCTCCAAGACCTATGCGGAGAAAGACGAGTTACATTGAAAGTAAATTCACGATTTCAAGTCGAAACACAAAAGAGGATTAAAGTTTTGCAGTGTACAGCAAAAAACCGCGTGTAAGAAACTACATTTTTTGAAGACTTACAAAATAGGTTCTTGCAATTCGGGGTAGTTATTGGCAATTTAGGCTAAATAGGTTCTTAATTAGGTCTTAATTTCTACGAAGGAGATATAGCTGTTGATTACCAGACAAATAAGTAAACTTTGGTTTGGTCCTTAAATGTACAGTATGTATTCACAACTGTATTAGGTCTTTTCTTGTAATATAAATTTTCAATCTGAAAGTCCCACTCCTTGGTTAAAATGTTTACCATAATTTAACTGTAACCCGCGTATTAGAACCTGCTTGATCTTGTTGCTAAACAGGTTCTTACACCTTTGGGTATTAAAATTGCAAATTTCTGCCAGCAGGTTCCTAAACCGCCATTAGGTTCTTACACGTGGGTTTTCACTGTATTTGAAATATCGAAGTTAAGGTTTGTCTACAAGTTACTCAACTATCGCTTTCAGCGAAGCCTCATACTTGGTCAGCTCCGCTTCGAATCTTTCGCAATCCCTTTTCTTCGCCGTAATTTCCGCCTGTAGCATACCTTCGTCTCGCGTGGCCTCAGTCATCTCGTTCCAGGTTTCTTGGAGTTCTTGCAGCAGCTTCTGTCTCCGTTCCTCCGTGTTGGTAATCCGCTGACGCACTTGCGCGAGGGCCTCCTCTTTCTCCTCCAGACCCCTCCGAGCTTGGACCAACTCCTGTTGAAACTTGGCGTGCAAGGAGTTCAAGAAGTTCTTCTTCTCAGATCGAGGCATGGTCCTAATACCGGAGATAATGGAAGACTCTTCGTTGTTGTTCTTGCTCTGATTTGCTGTAGGGTGTGCTACATTGGTAACCTTAATGTGATTGGTTGTCGCAGACTCAGTGTTATTTCCAGAGTTACCATTGGCTGACCAGGAAGCCGCAACGACCATGCCGTCATCAGCTGGCGGAAGTGACGTAGAGCTTGCTTTTCCGGGCGACGTCTTCACGACCGGAGGCAATGGCGTGTTATCCGAAATGTCAGAAGGACAAGGCAAGTCGTTCACTATGACTGGGCTTTCTCTAGAAGGCGCCGTTAAATGACCTACTTCTCCAGGTTCCTTCTTGACTGTAAACAGCCTGACACGAGCAGCAGCGCCATCTGGAATGACGGGACTCATTGCATACTCCATAGGGTGAAAAAGGGTAGCTGGTGGTGAATGTATGGGCGAAGAGTCTGGTGGGGCATCTTTTTCAGGGGTCTGCAGTAGGTCCTTCAAAGGGCGCTCGTCCTCAGAGAGCTCCTCCTCAGGGAGCTTCTCCTCAGGGAGCTCCTCCTCAAGGAGCCCCTCCTCAGGGAGCTCCCCCTGAGGGAGCTCTTCCTCAGGGAACTCCTCCACAGGGTCATCATTACCACCTACGTTGTTCCAATCTTGGTCCCGTGGCCGAAGAATTCCCGCCATTTCGTACGAGCTCAAATCCTCGGCGAGATCAGACGGGGTTTTGCCTTGGGCGTCAACAGTTTCCTTAAGGACTTCCATGATTTCCGGGTCGATGTTTTTCAGGACGCTCTTTATAACGCGATGCCCCACCCCGTGTCTGCAGGCCAAGATGTGCAGAAACGTCTCCTGGCTGTTGTTGGTCTTCAAAAGAAGTTCTCGTACAACATCCGGCGTGAGTTTTCCGGTTGATCTCAGACGGGTCAACTCTTTGACCAAACGTTCAAAATAACCTTCATACGTGTTCATTCTCTCCAACTCGCCCGTACAATCGAGGATCACTTTTGCCAAACAGTGAAAGGGCGTGTCACCCTCCTTGTTACAAATCGTGATAAGTCTTGGAAGGTTTTCTGTTAGCGTTCTCAGTGTCTTTGAAAAGACCTCTAAAATGGTCTTGCTGGGGCTTTTCTTCCGTACCATGGCCCGGTCAAGGGACAGCAGCATTCGGTGCAGCCCGGTCTCGCCAGTGCGTTCAGACTGCACGCCTAGATTGAATTCCTTCATGGCTGCCAACCTCTCCAGCACTTTGAATTTGCCGAGGACGCAGGCCCAGTGGACCAAGGGATACTTAAAGGAAGCGACCGGGTCAGGGATGTCGGCATTAGCGCGTACACAAGAGAACTTTCCCAGTTGATTCACGTATTCATTAACTTGTTTCATGAAGGAGTCTAGATAAGCTGTAGCTGCGCCATAATTGTAATTGGAACACTTGAGGAGGCTTAGCAGGAGCTTGTGGTGTTGAAATGTGCAATTACTGCCGCAAAACGGCGTGTGCTTAGGTGCTGCAACCAAACAAAGAAAGAAAATTCAGGGTTAATTCTCTACTTTGAAAACATCCAGACTTAAAAAATTAATTAGACCCACTTAATAAACGTAAGGTAAAGTCTGACCCATTAGGCCTGCACTTAGCTCCAGTACTCCAAAGCATGAAGCGACTAGGAGTGTTTTTACTACCCCCTGGATAGAATGCTACTCCATTGCTGGTTTACACACGCCACTTAAAATCTGGACTTCAGTAGGATAAGAAAATTGCACACTGTCCCTTCCGGGGAGGGGGCCTCCCCTACAAAAAGGACAGGGGTGCCCATCGTACCTTTCACGGGTGTTCAGTATCATAAGGTCCATAGCGGGAGCTTTTGCAGTACCTGTCAGGGTATTGAGCCGAACAGGACAGGAGATAATGTGTTGTTTTACAATTACAACCTCTTAGTGGTGAAAAAAATTTCAAGCCACAACCAAAAAACACGATCTTGGTAACTCTAAGGAGTTCTTTTCAAAATTTCCAAAAATCCTGACCTCCCCCCTCCCCCCCGGGCTGTCCCTAGACTTTTTTAGGCTTTGTTAAATGCAGCTGTTGCTCATAGCACAATGTCTATTCAGTCAATGCATCAATCTGGAATAATCACTTAGCTTTAAAACGACATTGCTGAACAATGTTAAAGGTGTCTGAGCTGAGCTTTTTACAGTAAATGTGGGA